CCATTCAACAGGCAAAGGACAGTTTTATCAATGAATGTTTGGGGAAACTAGATATTCACTTGCAAAAAAATGACATTACAATGGATCTGACAATACATCCTAACTGTTTTTCTGATTAATAAATATAAATCTGACTCATCCTTTTTCATTACAGTATATTTCAGGAATATACAGTGTAACACAGAAAGAACATGCTACAATATATTTACTCTCATCTGGACAGACATTTGCTACTATGAACAATGTAAGAGTAGTTAGAACTATTATCTAAGGGCAACAGTTAAGGCACTATTTGAGAGGTCCACACCCCTATCACAGTGCCTGGGGTTGATTCCGACCTCTGCTTCCAATGGATCTTTGCTAAGGTGCAGCCCAGGAGGCAACAGATGCTGACGCAAGTCCTTGGGTCCCTGCTACCCATATAAGAGACCTGGACTTCTCGGCTCCTGGCTTCCCCCTGGCCTAGTCCTGGCTGTTAAATGGCAACTAGAGAGTGAATCAGTAAATAAAATCCCTCTCTTTTCCTTTCTGTGTCTCTCTGCCATTCAAGCTATATAGAAGTAAATAAATAACATTTTTAAAGATTGTTATTGCCTCCTACTTCTGTTTGACAGGGCAAAGAATGATATATTCAGATTTTTGTGTAACACATCATTAATTTTTGTTTATGGTGTGAAGCAGGAGGGGAGATGATCTGCATTAGCTAAAATACGAATTTAGTTTTGTGTAACAAACACCTCAAATAGCCATGGTTTATGTATGCTCTCTCCCCTTCACACAACACCCTAGAGAAGAGTACGCCAGGACTTGTGTACACACAGCTGCTGAGACCCCAGCCTTCTTTCTATACTCTTGCTGGACCTTTGATCCACAATGGCTCATCACGGTCCAATACTGGATCACTGCCACACCCACATTCCATCTGGCAGTAGACACAGGAAGGACACGCACACTCCCCTTCAGCGCAGTCCTCGGAAGTAGCCTGTGCCACTCCCACACCCATCCCATTGGACTGAACTTAGTTATAAAACCTGTCCTAGATAAACACAGACTGAGAAAAAATAGTACTTACTTGGCTATGTGCCTCACTAGTCGCATGATGGCCGAGAGGATGTTGGATAAAGAGCAACTCTGTGATAAGATCTTCCAATAAAACAATTATGAGGGAATTTTAAAAGCTAATGTTAACATGTGTGATGGGGTAACTACACATGGCCTTCCATTTTTTACACCAGAATAAATGTATCTTAACTATGTTTTTCCATGAACCCTTTTCTGAAAGGCACACTTACAGAGGGAGAGAGGCAGAGAAAAAAGATGTTCTATCCACTGGTTCACTCTCTAAATGGCCATAACAGCCAAAACTAGGCTGTTCCAAAGCTGGAAGTTGGAAACTTCCTCCAGGTCTCTCCCATAGATTCAAGATCCCAAGGCCTTGGGCCATCCTCTGCTGCTTTCCCAGGACATAAGCAGGGAGCTGGAGAGGAACTGGAGCAAACAAGACTTGAACCAGAACCCACATAGGTTGCCAGCACCACAGGCAGAAGATTAGCCTCATATGCCGTAGCACTAGCCCCTCCACAAACTTTTTAAAGTACCATGATCATCTAGCAACATTTACAAAATAAACTATTTCCTAAAGAACTAAGGAACCGGGCCCGGCGCGGTGGCGCAAGTGGTTAAAGTCCTCGCCTTGCACGCCTGGGATCCCATATGGGCGCCGGTTCTATCCCGGCAGCCCCGCTTCCCTTCCAGCTCCCTGCCTGTGGCCTGGGAAAGCAGTCGAGGATGGCCCAAAGCTTTGGGACCCGTGTGGGAGACCCAGAAGAGGCTCCTGGCTTCGAATCGGCATAGTATCGGCCGTTGTGCTCACTTGGGGAGTGAATCATCGGATGGAAGATCTTCCTCTCTGTCTCTCCTCTCTGTATATCCGCCTTTCCAATAAAAAGTGAATAATAATAATAAATCTTTAAAAAAAAAAAGAACTAAGGAACCCTCTTGTGTTTAACAAGTTCCAGGTATAATTAGATCTAATTCTAGACACTATTATATGAAAATAGTTTCATAATTATTAGATGGTATTACTGTATTATTTTATAGTTAATTTCATAAGTAGCCACTTGGAATTATGTGGTTGAAGAAGTTTGAGTTAGGCTTTTTTGCAGCTCAGATAAAGAGCAAATTAGTATCTTCAAGACTGGTTTTTCTTAGCACCTGGATATTATAACTTGATAACTCTTATTGCTCCAATTTTTTAACATTAAAAATAATATCCAAAAGTAGAAGTGACAGGTTGGTTTTATGATCCTTCCCTTAGAGCAGAAGCATTACTAAAAAGTGAAGCCATAGGAGTTGGGCATGAAGATGCCTCCCTACAGGGAGACAGGCAGTCAGGACTTCACCATCCCATCTACTTCTGAACCTCGTATGAGTAAGAGCAGGGGTGGGGTCTGGCATGAGGGAAGTTCCAAAGGAACCCGTTTAACTACTGGACCTCTTGCCAGCCCTTACTCACACCCTGTTTATGAAATGGATGGTAGGGTGAAGTCCTATTCGCCTGTCACTTTGGGAGAGGCTGTTCTGTGTGGACAACTCACTCTTGCAGCTTTCCTTTCCGTAATGTTGAAAGCTACCTTCCCAGTTCTGACGCATTATCACTCTAAGGTGTGGGACTCCATTAGTCTTTTAACAGCACTGTCTCCTGGCCATTAACCCTACCCACCAGCTTCCATTCACTCTGTTCTAAAGAGGAAAGACCTTATTCTCTAAAGTGCCTTTCTTTGACTTTAGAGAAAAGAAATCATTTCTTTGCTCAAACGAAACTGCAATTGAGATCCCAACCCTTGAGTGCCACTAGTTGTGTGCCCTTGGCCTTGCTTTAAACCCCAAACATGGTCTTTTCTTTCATGAAGCTTTCCTGGGTTGCCAGTGCCCTCAACAGTGGAATGAGCTGGAAGGCACCTTAGAAATCCAGACTTAACGGTTCTCAACTCCACCTCCCTCCCATCCTGTGCAGCTGTTTATGGTACTTGTCAGTAGGAATGAGAGATAACACCTTGGCTTTTCTTATAATTGTCTGCCAGGGGTGGTGAGTATCAGCTAGAACTGGTAGGAAGGCACAGATCTAAAATATATGTAGCATCTTAGATACTACAAAGAAAGGCATGGGTTCTGAAACAAGCTTGTCTCACGGCAGAGTCTGTCTCCACAGCTCTGCTGCCAGAATCTAGATCCTTGTGCAACTGTAGGACTTGTTATCAAGTGAGACCTGACAGGTTTATTGAATGCAGGAACACATGAACAAATGAATGAATGAAGTATATAACAAAGTTAGCCATCATATTTAAACTAGAAAAACTGGATTCTGGTCCTGGGTGTACTACTAGTGCCTTTCTTTGCTGAGTTGTCTTAGGACTGGGGGGCAGGAGGGATGAAAGAGTATGTCTGTAATTACTTGCTTTGCTTTTAGGAGACAGTTTTATGAAGATATAATTCACGTATGTTGCAACTTCATCCACTTAAAGAGTACAATCCAATGATCCTTAGTGTGTTCACAGAATTGTGTAATCATTGCCACAATCAATTTTCAAACATTTTCATCACCCCATCTATCCTTCATCCTCAAGCCCCCGGGTCTATGAAAATATTAATCTGATTTTTTTCACAGTAGATTTGTCTATTCTGAACTTCCCTACACCTTCTAACTGCAGGCAGTACATAGCCTTTGACCAATACCCTTGCCTCATAATCACTACTCTATACTATGACATCAACTCTTTTACATCCCGCATAATTGAGATCATGCACTATCTGCCTTTCTCTGCCTGGTTTATACCATACAACATAACATGTTCCAGACTCATCCATGGTGTTGCAGCAGTCTAGTAATCCATTACACATATATATCACGTTTGCTGTACCCGTTCACTCACTGATGCACCCCTCCATTGTCTCCTGTTGTCCAGCAGATGGTTCCATGTCTTGGCAGGTGTCAGGATTGCTGCAACAAATGTGGAAGTGCCGGTATCTCTTTGACATGCTGATTTTTTCTTAATGCATGTCCAGAAGCAGGCTTGAACAGTAACTTTATTTTTAATATTTTGAGGAACCTTCACACTGCTTTCCATAATGGGTATATTAATTTACATTCCTCCCAACAAAGCATAAATATTCTGTTTTCTCCACATACACATCAATACATAAAGCAACTACTGTAACAGATGTGAGGCAATATCAACGTGCTTTTGTTTGCATTTCCCTTGTGATCACTGATGTTGAGCATTTTTAAATTTACCTGTTAATCATTTCTATGTCTTTTTTCTTTTCTTTTTTTTAAGAAACATCTATTCAGATCTTTTGCCAAGTTTTTAAACAGATTATGCTTTTTTTCTTCACTATTACGTGTTCAAGTTCCTTACAAATTCTGGACAATTTGCCAATATTGGTTCCTGTTCTGTGGGTTGTCTCATCACCCTGTGGATTGTTTCCTTTTGGGTACAGAAATTTCTCAGTTTGATGTAATCCCACTTGTCTTTTTTGTTTGTTTGTTTTTGTTTTTGTTTGTTTGTTCAGCTTAGAGGGTGAAAATAAACCATTTTCTCTTACCATAAGATGCTAAGGGGAGAAAGCAGGCAACACGGGTCTGGGCAATGATTTTCCTGGATATGGCTACTTGCAGGTGTGTGCTGGTGGTGCACGGGTCCTTGGGCTTCATAAACAGCCGTGTGCAGCATCTTGGCTGCCCAGGAAGGCCTGTGATTGCTTCACAGGAGGCCAGGGTTGGTTACAGCCCACCTCGTGACCAAAGAGCTAGACTACTGAAGCGCACACCTGAGGGTGTGTCTGGACCTGGGACGCCTCAGAAAGAGGGTCAGAGACTTGGAGGGACGCGCAGGCCGAGCCAGGCTGCGGGAGGTTCTTGCACACACAAGGCAAGGGCCAGGAAGAGGCCTGGGGTAGGGCGGTCCAGGGCAGCCGCGGCAGAGCGAGCTAGGGCGGGGCGGAGTGGGGCGGGGCCCTCCTGGCCGCAGCTTCTGCACCTGTTCTTCGGTGCGTGGCTTTGGTTGCGGACGGCTGAAGGAACATACAACAGGTCAGACGCCCCGCTGAGGGCACGGGCTACGATTGGGAGGTGGGGCTTGGAAGGGGGCATGGTGCACAGAAGGGAAGGGGTACTTCTGCGGAGGGCCCTCGGTGGAGGAGGAGGTGCGGGTCAGACGGAGAAGAGGCGAAGGGGATCCGAGGGGCCCCCTGGCATCGCGGAACTCCCTTTTAGCTAAGAAGCGGGCGCGTCCCCACGGTCCAGAAGGCCAGTTCCGGGAGTCGCCAGTGTCCGCGACTAGTCAGATGGAGGCGCTATCCAGTGCGTGGAAGGGTGAAGCCCCCCAGGCCACCTTCTCAGCCTTCTGAGATGACGGCTCAGCTCTGAGACCCTGAGCAGTTCCAGCCTGCGCGCGTCGCTGTGCGCACTTGGACCCCATCTGTCCCCTCCTGTGAACTCCCACCGCCAATAGGCGAACCTGATTCTTTCCTGGACTCTAACACCCCGAGGCGACCAGGAAGGTCCCGCAAAGTCCAGAATCAGCTGCTGTTACTAGAATGGTGAGCGGAGAAGGCTGTCGGGAGCGAAGGGGGAGCTTGGGCAGCTGTACAAGCGGTTTGAGTCGGTGCCGGTATCCAGGTGCAAAGGGATGCGCCCGGGGAGACTTGCGTTTCATCCCCGCGTAATCTACGCTTAGCGACAAACATATCAGTTTTTAACATAAGGAGGAGGGGCCACCGCTCCTTAAAATCACAGAAATGGCCATTTCCTGTATTTTCTCCACCCCCAAATCTACCTCCTCCCCGGGCCTCGTCCCTAGATCTGCCTTTCCTCCCTCACAGGCGCCAGATCGCACCCGCACTTTCTGTTGGGCTCTCAAAGCGCATGACCTCCTTGCTAATGGGGCAGACCCACAGCCCTTTGCCTGTCATTTTACACTCCCTTCGAGAGTTTCGTTAGAAACGTGTCCTGATGCATGCGATGTTCAGATGCTCTACGCTGGGAGAGACAGAATGAAAACCCTGGACGTAGGGGCAGAGTGTCGCTTTTCTGATTGTGTTCTTGACTGCAAAGCCTCTTGGCTTAATGATTGGTCACCTCGCGTTCCTACTGAAGATCTGGATTTGTTTTAAAGATTTGATTGAACCTCCAGTTCCTGATTTTGCAAGTGGGGCTGCTGCTGGACCTTGTCTGATGTTGTTCCTCATTTGATCTCGTATTGATGGAGCTAAATTTCAGCTTTCCCTTGAGTAGAGCTGTGATTGTCTTTGGCGTTTACTGGGGAAAATGCAAACAGAGCCTCGATTACTCATCCTCACACCCCGAGTGTCCTTGCATTCTGCGGATTCCTCCCTCAGGCTGCTGATGGATGTAGGTTGCAGTGGGTAAGGTGGACCTCACTTTTGGCACCAGCCCCCTCCTTGCCGGCCCTCCCCATGACCAGTTGATTAGGGGCCTGGCTCACTTGCAGCAAGGGGCGTTTTAAGATGGGGGGTTGGCAAAGGTTAGGGGGAAAGGGAGTAGAGGGAAAGGAAGACTTGCATTTCTTTCTGCTCACCTCCAAGATAACATCAGCTGCTGGGGCTAATTGTTTAAGGTGCAGATAATATGTATGCTGTTATAAGCAAAGGATTAACTCTTTTCCTCAATTGCACTTCCTTGTTGAAATGGGTAAGGGCAATCTGAACTTAGCTGAAGCCACTCCCATAGCCAAAGTCCCTGCTATTGCAAAACCTTTATTGTAGGTGAGAGAGTTGAACTCACTAATGGGTCATCATATGTGAACACATTTCATAGTTCTGTGTGTTCCTATAGGCAGGTCATAAAGCTAATGTGAGACTCTTCCCAATATCAGACCATACTGATGAACAATTAGAGGCCATAGGTGGCTGCTATACTATCCAGACTTCACTGAACTCTTGGCTTCCACCTGTTAAGTTAGGTCACCCTTAACCTTCCCTGAGACTAGAAACACAAAACGAGAGCAGTTGAATCTTAGCTGCTTTGTTTCTCTTGCCTATTCACTTACATAAAAAATTAAGCTGCTACAGGGTATCTATCCTATCAGAGAGAAAAGGAAATGCAAAAAGATTGATCAGTCTCCTATGAATGTTGAAAAATTCCACTGAAGCTATCAAGACACGCCCCTACCCTGTCATCCTGCTGCCAGCGTATAGATGTTCTCAGCCATTGTCCACCTCCTGCTGCTCCTCGGATCCTCACGAGGCTGTGCAGGCCACAAGGTGAGGTCTGCAAGCAGCACTGAATGGGAAGAGCAGTGTCCCTGTTCCCTAAATGCGACACCAAAGCCAAGAGCCTAGGGAGTTCAAATGCAGATAACCCCAACCCTAGCCTTTCAAGGTGGCTTTGCAGCGCTGGGGGAATGCTGGACAGCTGGGGTTCAGACACAACCGTGCCCCTGGGAAACGGAGCAGTGCTGCAGCCTGACCCACACTCCTGAATGTATTTGGAAAATCTCGGTCTTGGGTTGGTTGTCTTCTTACAAATCTCCATCTTTTTGGTAACTAAAATTAGGATTCTTCATGCATTTATTTTTTAAATTAATTTTATCAAATAACTATCTGGTTGGTTTTTTTGTTTTTGTTTTGTTTTTTCTTGATTAAACGGGAAATGCGACATCAGAATCTAAGACGTGACAAAATCCTCAGACAGCAGGCAGTCATTAAGGGTGAAGTTAGGGCTTCTTGTAATGAGGGAAGAAGTAATAAATTCATGGTTGATCTTGTTTCTTGTATTGCATTGTTTTAAAATATATTTTCTTTTAAAAAGCACTTATTTTTATTGGAAAAGTAGGGTTACTGAAAGAAGAGGCAGATAGATGCTCCATCCACTACTTCATCCTCCCGTTGGCCGCAATGGCCAAAGCTCGGTGGATTTGAAGTCAGGAGCTTCTTCCAGGTCTCCTATGCCCCAGAGGAGAACTGCTGCTTCCCAGGCCATTAGCATGAACTGGAACAGAAGTGAGGCAGCCAGGATTCAAGCCTGCACCCACATGGGATATCAGCACTACAAGCAGAGGCTTAGCTCACTATGTTACCATGCCAACCCTTTTGGTATCGCGTTTCTAAATAAACTTTAAAATGAATGAGACAGGGCACTTACTTACCAGTAGATATGGAACTAGATTAGAGCCCTATGTCTTAAATCAGAGGACCTAGGCTCAATTCCCGTCTCCACTTGTGACTCCGGCTTGCTTACATGCAGACCCCAGGAAACAATGATGGTGACTCAAGTGATTGGGTTCCCAATGTTCTTTCTGGCATGTGGTGCCCTTGGAAATTTCCTAAATATATAAATCAAGTGACTTGTTCTGAAATAGGCTATTGATTTGTGGTCTGTGACAACAAACAATAGTATCCCCAAATCCTGTATTCAAAAACATGTGTTCCTCAACTTACAATGGAGTCAGGCCCCAATAAACCCATTGTACAATGAAAATACCATCCTCGGAAATGCATTCAATATGCCCAACCCACCAAACATCCTCACGTAGGAACACAGCACATGGTAGAGTGTGATTGTTCCCTCCTGTGATCACAGGTCTGACTGGGAGCTACACTCTGGGGCTGGCCAGCATCATAAAAGAAGCTGGGACCACCAACGGTGACCTGGGCAAAGGCCCAATTTCAAAATTCCAAGGGCCATTTCTATTGATTGTGATTGGCTTTCATACCACTGTAAAGCTGCAAATCTGTAAGTTGAATCATCTATTTTAATTGCATTCCACTTTCCATCAAAAAGAGTTGTAGCTGTCTGGCCTGCTATTTCACACCTGGCATTTCGCCCATACTAGGCACTCAACGTAATGTGTTCATTACTAGTGCACCTCAAAAATTACATGGAGAAATGCAATTTAAAGATGAGAACTTTCTTATTATTTTAAAATTTGTTTTACTTGAGAAGTAAAAAGACAATGAGAGCGTGCTCCCTTTGTCTGGTCTACGCCCCAGATACCCACGCAGCCGTGGATGAGCCAGGCTGATCCCAGAAGCCAGGCACTCTTTCCAGATTTGCCATGTAGATGGCCGGGACACAAATACGTTAGCCATTGCTGCCGCCTCCCATGGTGTACATTAACAAGAAGCACACATCAGGGCCCGGCGCGGTGGCGCAAGTGGTTAAAGGTCCTCGCCTAGCACGCCCGGGATCCCATATGGGCGCCGGTTCTAATCCCAGCAGCCCCGCTTCCCTTCCAGCTCCCTGCCTGTGGCCCGGGAAAGCAGTCGAGGACGGCCCAAAGCTTTGGGACCCTGCACCCACGTTGTGCTCACTTGGGGAGTGAATCATCGGACGGAAGATCTTCCTCTCTGTCTCTCCTCTCTGTATATCCGCCTTTCCAATGAAAAAATAATAAAAATAAATCTTTAAAAAAAAAAAAGAAGCACACATCAGAGATCATGGTAGGGCTCGAACTCAGGGACTCAAAAATGTAACAGGAGTGCCTCAAGCAACATCTGAACTTCTGAGGCCAAACGCCTACCCCAAGCTTATTTTACATATCTGAGTTTATTTCGGTACCAAAAATATTTCAAATCCATAAATGGTTTTTATCATAATACCTATTTTCCATGAACTTTCAGAGGACCCCCCTCATATTTGTCAAATTTTTTAAACAAATGTTCTATGACATATAACATTTACATGTTATATGACATTGGGAATTTCATTTGGCTGCAAGTGTCAGTGGTGACTTAAGCAAGGAAGCAATCTGTTTCTCTCAGAGTCTGGGGACGCGGAGTCCGAGACTGGGATAGCTGCTCCAGGATGGTGTTGTCTGACACAGGTTCATCTGTCTTCCTGCACTAGCAACCTCGGTGTGCAGTTTCATCCTCACCTCACACAGGTGCTCATCTCTTACACTTCCACAGAAATAAGTGCAAAAGGCATGCACCAGCTGAGTCCGTTCTTTTCATAATAAGTGTCAGTAATAGTCTTTCCTGGACATGCTGGTCAGTGGACTTCCCAGTATCCCATGGGCCAGAACACTAATGTCACATTGGCCAGTGTGAGCCAATAGAATACAGAAAAAT